TCTGTAATTGCCTCGATAATTCCCATGATAGTTGTTACCCCGAAAATGACCTTTACCATGATAGTGAGTGCCATCAGAATTGTGTGGAGCATAACTCTGTGGTGTAGGAAGAAGAAGGGGTTGAGGCTGAAAATATTGGGCTGCATAAGCCTGAAAAGGTTCAGAGACAGAAAAGGCAATAGACTTCTTTTTGCGATTCACAAACACCTCTTTGTTGATCAACAATCCATGTAATTCATCCAGAGAGGTGGATGAGATACGGAGCATAATTGAGTCAATGAATGACTCATAATCATTCGAAAGGCCTTGTAGTGTGATCGCAATTAGATCACTCTCCAAGATTGGAGCTCCTGCATCCATGAGTGCATCAGAAAGGTTCTTGATGAGTTGAATACTCTGAAATAGGTAGATCTCCCTTTTGAACAGAATGAATGCGAGATCGAAGCTGATGGATGTGAGTGGCTGAGACACCTCCGAAGCATTGCTCAAGAGTGAGCCAAAGTTCACGAGAGGATTGAACACCAACTGTGAAAGGGATAAGATCTTCTGAAAGTGTAGAATTCAGCCAAATAAGGATATTTTGATCCTTTTCATACCACAAATCAAAGTTTGGGTTTGGAATTCCAATGTTCTTGCCAAATTCATCAAGAACAAATGGCAAGGGACAAACCTCAGAGCCATCAACAATTTCTGTAAGCTTATATCGACGAAAGATCGAGGCAAATAATGCCTTCCAGACGAAGTAATTGTCTCGTTTGAGCTTCATAGGAACCATACAGCTTATATTCTGTATTGAAATGGAAGAAATTGAGGGAGAAGAAGGAACCGTACCAAAATTAGGGTTCATCGAAGTAAAATTTAGGGCAAGAACTTCAGGATTCGCCGGAGAGGAGGTCGACGATGTCATTGTTACTGTAGATCACATAGAGGAGAAGATCGGCCAAGATTTAAGAGAAATCAAAGATTAGAGATCGCAAATTGAAGAAATCGCAGAGATCAAAGAGCGCACAAAGATCGCAAAGATTGCAGAGAACGTAGAGATCACACAGATTGTAGATCACAGAAGTTGCAGATCACATAGATTACAGAGATCGGCGAGCACGAAAGGTGCAGAAATTGCAGGAAGCGAGGGAGAAGAAGATCGAGAGAGAGGCGGTTAAGCAAAAAGGGATGATACCATATTTAGAAAGATATTTCTCATTGATTGAAACTGATTTTACATGATGATATTTATACAAGTCAACTAATAAAGATTAGATATTAACTAATGTAACTAATTAACCTTAAACTATGATTAGTTACAACAAACAAGACTTCTACACTAAGTAATTGCTGACTGTACTGATGAATTAGAATCTAACTGGCATTGTTGAGTTGACTGAGGATGATGTGTCTCTTTAGTAGGTACACGTAGATGTAGCTTATTTCTGGCATATAAAGCAATAGAATTGCAAGTTCATGGATAACAGAGGGAAACAACAGTTGAAGTGGATCTCAAACAAGTCAATATCAGAGCAACTCCACCCATGGAGCCATCCCCCTGGCAATCCACTATTGAATCCACCCTATTGAACAGTAACTGACTTTAATGAATAGTAACTGCCCTTAATGAACAGTAATTGCCATTTGCATCTCCACCCTTGGAGCCCTTCCCCCTGGCAATAGGCAATAAAATATTAGTTTTTTTTGTTTGTTTAAATAATACAAAATAAAATTATTTGTAATTTCGGATAAGATTTTTTAAATCATTCTCGTTGCGCCACGTGTCATTTTATAAAAAAAACAATTATTTAGCGATGGATTTCGATAAGATTTTTATCCAATGTCATCGTGCCACGTGTCGCTATCTTTTGAGAATCTTTGACAATAGATTTCGATCAGATTTTAACTCATTCAAAATTGCGCCACGTGTCATTATCTTAAAAGATAATTATTGAAGATCGATTTCGATAAGATTTTTATCCAATACGATCGTGCCATGTGTCATTATCTTTTCAGAATCTTTGAGGATAGATTTCGATCAGATTTTTAACGAATGACGGCATGCCACGTGGCCTTATCTACAATCCAATCCTTTCTGAATCGTCCATATAATCCACCATCCATCCTCACAAATCTCACACCAATTTTCTCAACATCTCTATCTCATTATTCATAGTTTCTGCTTCTTCTTCATCAAGGATGATGTGGGAAATCGATCAACAAGAGGAATAATTGTTTAACCAATCTGAATGTTCAACCTTCAGATAGCCGAAGAACCCATGCAACACGAGCCATTAGAAAGGGATGGACGTTACAATGAAAGGGTCATTCAACGATATACTACACTTCAAAGGTCATCTATGCACAATAATCGGCAAATTGACTTGATAGAGCACCAGTGGGCATTGAAACAAGCTAAAGATACTTAAGTTTATTAAGTATGTTTGTTTGTATTTGGTGTGTTTATGTAATTTTATTTGGTGTGTTTTTTGTAGTGAGTTTTTTATTATTTGGTGTGTTTATGTAATTTTATTTGGTGTGAATTATTTGGTATATTTATGTAATTTTATTTGGTGTGTTTTTTGTAGTGAGTTTTTTATTATTTGGTATGTTTATGTAATTTTCTTTGGTGTGTTTATGTAATTCCAATTGGTGAGTTTTTTAGTTTTATTTGGTGTGTTTTATAATTTCATTATACGTGAACAATTTGATGAATAAAGATTCTATTATTATGATAAATATATTATGAAATTAAATAAATGTACTCTCACTTTAAATAAAGTACTAACTTCAATAAATTGGAAACAACATAAATAATAAATTACAACCCAAAGTGATTGGAAAACTATGGGCTCCGATTACAAAAAGTACCCTATTCATCATCACTTAACCAATCTGTGGTGCTAGGATCATCTTGTCTTGTTGTGCTAGGACCATCTTGTCTTGATCTCGCTTCTTTTGCACGCCTCCTTTGCACCACATCCGCTTTCTCCGACTGCCAAAAGTATTTAGAATTTGGAGACATCCCTTCTAAACGCGTGTTCATAATGTCACGATCTCGTTGTGCAATTCTGTCTTCTCTAAGCAACTCCCTTTCTTGCCTAGGTAGCTCTCTTTCCCTCTATTCAGCTTGAAATGCTTGTTGAATAGCTGCAGCTTTTGCCTCATCTCTAGCATTTTCAGCCTCATATTTCGCCAATTCCCGCGCCAACGTCAATTCACCTTGATAAGCAAGTTCGTGCATGTACTTTCCATAATCATTCTTGGAAGCACTCCCTTTCCTCTTTGAAGCCTTCTTACCTTGAGGCCTAATTGAATAACGGGTCGACCCCGACGCTTGTTCAGGAATGGGCGTTTCAGGCACTTCTTCTCCATCTTCTTCATCAACATGGTAGCCATGATCGGGTGTAGAGTGTGGAGGGGTGCTGTGTACAAAGGTGTTGTGTAGAGGGGTGCTATTCATGCATACTTCTGGACCAACAGGCACAACTTTGAATTTAGGACAATCTTTAACAATATTCCAACATTTCCACTGGTGGAATGATTTGTTTCTTGATTTGATTTTGGCACCATACCATGCTTGTGCTTGAAGTTGCTACAAATGAATAATAATGAAATTATTAGGTAACAAATAAATAATACAAACAAATAATAATAATGAAATTAGGTCACAAATAAATAATACAAAAAAATAATAATAATGAAATTATTATGTAACAAATAAATAATACAAACAAATAATAATAATGAAATTAGGTCACAAATAAATAATGCAAACAAATAATAATAATGAAATTAGGTAATAAATAAATAATACAAACAAATAATTATAATCAAATTAGGTAACAAAATAATAATACAAACAAATAATTATAATATATTCTTACCTCATCCGCATAATTTGCCCCACTTCGAACATTACTACTAGCTTGTGTCAAGGCATCTCTCCACGTACTAAAGGAATGGCTAAGTATTTTCCAACGACTGGACATCGATTCTTTGGTTCTTTTCCCACTCATTTGCTCAAGAAATTTGGTATGAATTAAACTCCACATTTCTTGCAACTGCATCTCATTACCCGTAAGGGAATTATGAGTAACTTCAACCCAACTAGTGCACAACGCAACATCTTCAAGAAGCGACCAATTCGTACCTGCATCGGTAGTCATTTTGTGGAAAAAAATTGGATTGAAACTTTGAGAGAAAGATAGGAATTTGATTGAAAGTAGTTGATAAAATATGAAATTGTAGTGTAAGGTAGATGGAGAAGAAGTGGTATTTATAGAAAAGTAAAAAAAAAATAAAAAATTCACAAATTTTTTTCAGATTTTTTACAATTTTTTTCAAATTTTTTACAATTTTTTTTAATTTTTATTCAAATAATTAATCTCTGCCGTTGGATTTTAAAAAATTTGAATTCCAACACTCCAGATTGTACCACGTGTCACAACAGTAACTTTTCTTAATTTTAAAGCTATTTTTTCTATTTTTTTTAATTTATAAAGCAGATTAATATCAACCGTTGATCTTACATCGAACGGTTGATATAAAATCAGGTTTTTTTTATTACCGTTACAAATCGGACGGCTCGTATTAAAGAGTCGTTAGGATTGAACGGACCGTGGGAAGCCACGTGGCTTCCCAACGGTAATTGGGTTTTCTGGGCGCACGGGCCCGTGCCCTGAATTCCTGTCAGGCGATGCGCCCCCACTCGCGAGTGAGGGGCACGCGCCTGACACAAAAAAAATAAAAAAAAAGGCCGAACCCAGGCCTGACGTCACGGACCTCGGGCCACAGGCCTGTCGATTCCCCACCCCCGCGGCCCTCGGGCTCCCACCCTCACTCGGGCTCTCCAAGGCTGGAGGCCTACCAACCGGCCATCGGGCCCTTTCCTGGAGCCTGTCCCCCGAGCAACCACCATGGGTGGACTTGCTCTCAAGGAAAAAGTTAAATATATAAATTAAAATAAAGTGAGATATAAATTAAAATAAAGTGTGTAGCAACAAACTTGGGCTTACCTGTGGTGCCGCCTCCTTGAACAGTACAATTGATGTCCCAAATGCCCAACGTTTTTGTCTTAGAGGAAGGTCGGAAGAGAGCAGAGCGATGATCAAGCATTGGAAGATAGGCATCGAATTGTTTATCATTAATCGTGAATTTACCATTACTGGGTTGAATCCAAACACGTGCTACACTGCATTTCCTTCTTCCTGTTCCATAAGCTCTCCCCTTGTCGTCTAGTGTTCTCACTCTTGCTTTGGCAACGTCCTCCTGTTTCTGACGCTCTATTTCAACTCTTAAGGATTTTCTTGTATTTTTTCATAATTAATGTCTTCAATCTCTGATAGAGGGGGCAATCCTTTTATCCCTTGAAAATCCTTCAATGCAATCAAAGTGTCAAAGCATTTCATCTGTGATTGCAGATGCAGCAATAAGCTCACCAAATGCATGATTCGGACCTGCAGTTACCATACTGAATCAGTATAACATCTAAAGAATCACCTAGCTGATAAATGGATAAGCAACTGCATTCAAAACAAAGTACCATATGAGCTACAAAATTCGAGAAAGCCAAATTAATATCCCATGTGGAGTGCTTGCAGCTAAAATTCGAGAAAGCCAAATTTTAACTCCTCCTCCCACTTTAAGTGCTTTTAAAATGACTGAAAACACTTTTGGTGAAATGATTTTAGGTTTTAAAAGCATTAAATGTTTTTTGAAAGAAACACCAGATATGTGCTTCTTGCAGGAAACACTACAAATGGTTTTCCAGGATCCACTTGGAATTTGCCTAAGGATTGCATTTCCAAACGAGCACAATTAGTATTAGTTCCCAAAATCAAAAGCAGGAAAATAGACACACCAACATTTTAATGAACTTGCAGAACTCTCAACAACAAAACATACAATTGGTTGATGCCCAAATCAACCCAAAAGGCAACAGTACAGTACAGGTTGTTCCACTAAGCTATCCACTTTCCTACATTTAAGCATATCAAATGTTATCCAGAAATTTACGAAAAAGAACTAACCTTTGAGAACAGCAGTAAGCTCATGCTCCTCTTTCTCAAGCCTCTTAGCCTGTTCAGCCTTCTTAATCTCCTCTATACTTGTATTCCTGTGCTGTATCCCACTTTCAACCAATCGGAATCGGCCTTGCCAGGCTTAACTCCAGCAATCCTGGAAATTTCCCCGAAGCTCTCCGAATAAAGGGTCGAAACTTACATCAGTTTCTTGAGAAAGTTTCCAAACATCTGATTGGGAGGGACCCTTTCCATCGTCACAGGAGAAGAACCTTGGACTGAAAGTAGTGAAAATAGGGTTTTGGGGTTGGGGACATGGATGGAACTTCGAGGAGATTAGGGTTAGGGAGAGAAATGTGACTGTTTGGATAGATGACGAGAGAGCATGGTGATGAAGCAGATAAATGTAATGCTTTTATCCCTTGTACAACATGCATTAATACAAACTGTATAACATCATTTGGGCACACCACCTGAGAGAAGATTAAAGGGAAATTCCAACCAAATATATAAAGAGTCATTCAACTGACAAAACTCAGAATCCATGTATGTTTGCAAATCGAACAAAATGTAGAAAATATATATAAAAAAAAACAGATAGGAAGGGACTTGTGCACAATAATTAGAATTGAAGTATGCACATGGAATTTTTCTCACTTTTCCCTATAGATTATATTAGGAGTTTAGAACATCAAATTTGTGGGACCAAAAGATCAAGGGAACGTGTAATTTATTTGAACCCCAATGTTAAAGTTTTTAAATATAGTAGAAATTTATATTGTAACAAAGTGCATATTTCCGAAGGTTGAGGGAGTGACATCTGCCATGCTTTGTTTGCAGCGTTTCCTAGTTCAGCTGGTGGAGGGAGTGACATCTGTCATTCACACTCGTCGGGATATCGGTAGGGCATAAGCTTCCTTTGGACATCGGTGGCTCCATTGTTGCATATAAACGTTGGGTATTATAAAAATTTGAAAGGAAAGGGAACATAGTCCCACATTGACCAAGTCAAGATCCTACAAGCTCCTGATAAGTAATAGTGTAAATTAATAACTAAAAACAAAGTTATGCGTGCCAATTGGAATAATTAATTAATAATAGACGGGCCTTGGGAGGTGAAAAAACCTATTAATTCTAAATTTTAAATTTCGTGCGAACTTTTGGAGCCGATGTGATTTGCACATGCGTAAAGGTTATGGGGCCATGGCCAAAGAAACGGTTATTAAAAGTCATAAACTAACGGATGCGATTATATCAACTCACACACACCGCATTCCATCAGAACTCCGAAGTTAGGCGAGTTTGGGCAAGAGTAGTACTAAGATGGGAACTCCGAAGTTAAGCGAGTTTGGGCGAGAGTAGTATTAGGATGGGAACTCCGAAGTTAAGTGAGTTTGGGCGAGAGTAGTACTAGGATGAGCGACCTCCTAGGAAGTCCTCGTGTTGCATCCCCCCCCCGCGTACCTTTTTTTTTTTTTTTTGAAATTCTTTTCTGCGTATTTCTAGCGGCTTATTTGTGGCACGTGTCGTTTATAACCGAGTCCCGTGCTTGGGAGATAAAAGAAAGGAACCATAAGGACTATTAATTCTATCTTTTTGAATTTCGAGGGATCGTCTTGATTAATGTTTCTTGGGAGATGAAAAAACCTATTAATTCTATATTTTAAATTTTGTGCGAATGTTTCAAGCCGATGTGATTTGCACATGCGTAAAGGTTAAGGGATCATGTCCAAAGAAATGGTTATTAAAAGTCATAAACTAACGGATGCGATCATACCAACTCACATGCACCGGATCCTATCAGAACTCCTAAGTTAAGTGAGTTTGGGCGAGAGTAGTATTAGGATGGGTGACCTCCTGGGAAGTCCTCGTGTTGCATCCCCACCCCCCACCTTTTTTTTATTTTTCGTAATTCTTTTCTGCATATTTCTAGCGGCTTATTTGTGGCGTTCGTCGTTTATAACCGAGTCCCGTCTTTGTGAGATGAAAGAAATGAACAAGAATGACTACTAATTCTATCTTTTTGAATTTCGAGGGATGGCCTTGATTAATGTTTCATGGGAGATGAAAAAGCCTATTAATTCTATATTTTAAATTCCGTGCGAACTTTTAAAGCCAATGTGATTTGCACATGCGTAAAGGTTACGAGGTCATGGCAAAAGAAACGGTTATATAAAGTCATAAACTAACGGATGCGAGCATACCAACTCACATACACCGGATCCCATTAGAACTCTGAAATTAACCGAGTTTGGTCAAGAGAAGTACTAGGATGGGTGAATTCATGGGAAGTCCTCGTGTTGCATCCCCCCGCCTTTTTTTTTATTTTTCGTAATTCTTTTCTGCGTATTTCTAGCGGTTAATTTCTGGCGCGCGTCGTTTAGAACTGAGTCCCGTGCTTAGGAGATAAAAGAAAGGAACGAGAAGGACTGTTAATTCTATCTTTTTTAATTTTGAGGGATCGTCTTGATTAATGTTTCTTGGGAGATGAAAAAATCTATTAATTCTATATTTTAAATTTCGTGCTAATGTTTCAAGCCGATGTGATTTGCGCATGCGTAAAGGTTAAGGGGTCATGGCCAAAGAAACAGTTATTAAAAGTCATAAACTAACGGATGCGATCATACAAACTCACATGCACCGAATCCCATCAGAACTCCGAAGTTAAGCGAGTTTGGGCGAGAGAAGTATTAGGATGGCTGACCTCCCGAGAAGTCCTTGTGTTGCATCCCGCCCTCCACCATTTTTTTATTTTTCGTAATTCTTTTCTGAGTATTTCTAGCGGCTTATTTGTGGCGTGCGTCATTTATAACTGAGTCCCGTACTTGGGAGATGAAAGAAATGAACGAGAAGGACTATTAATTCTATCTTTTTGAATTTCGAGGGATCGTCTTGATTAATGTTTCTTGGGAGATGAAAAAACCTATTAATTCTATATTTTAAATTTTGTGCGAACGTTTGGAGCCAATGTGATTTGCACATGCGTAAAGGTTACGGGGTAATGGCCAAAGAAACGGTTATATACAACCAAAAGTCATAGACTAACAGATTCGATCATACCAACTCACATGCACCGGATCCCATAAGAACTTCGAAGTTAAGCGAGTTTGGGCGAGAGTAGTACTAGGATGGGTGACCTCTTGGGAAGTCCTCGTGTTGCATCCCCCCGCCCTTTTTTTATTCTTCTTAATTCTTTTCTGCGTATTTCGAGCGGCTTATTTGTGGCGCGCGTCGTTTAGAACCGAGTCCCGTGCTTGGGAGATAAATGAAAGGAACGAGAAGGACTATTAATTCTATCTTTTTGAATTTCAAGGGATCATCTTGATAAATGTTTCTTGGGAGATGAAAAAAACTATTAATTCTATATTTTAAATTTTGTGCGAACGTTTGGAGCCGATGTGATTTACACATGTGCAAAGTTTATTGGGTCATGGCCAAAGAAACGGTTATATACAATTAAAAGTCATAGACTAACGGACACGATCATACCAACTCCGAAGTTTAGCGAGTTTGGGCGAGAGTAGTACTAGGATGGGTGACCTATTGGGAAGTCCTCGTGCTGCATCTCCCCGGCCTTTTTTTTTTTCGTAATTCTTTTCTGCGTATTTCTAGCTGCTTATTTGTGGCGCGTGTTGTTTGTAACCGTGTCTCGTGCTTGGGGGATGAAATAAAGGAATGGGAAAGGCTATAAATTCTATCTTTCTAAATTTCAAGGGATCGTCTTGATTAGTAATTCTTAGGAGATGAAAGAAAGGAATGGGAATGACTATTAATTCTATCTTTTTAAGTTGAGAGGGATTGTCTTGGTTAATAATTCTGGGGAGATGAAAGAAAGGGGAAAGACTATCAATTCTATCTTTTTGAATTCCGAGGGATTCTCTTGATTAAAATTTATTGGGAGATGAAAGAAAGGAATGTGAAAGACTATCAATTCTATCTTTTTGAATTTCGAGGGATCTTCTTGATTAATATTTTTGAGTTTCGTACAAACGTTTGGAGCCGATCTGATTTGCATATGCGTAAAGGTTACAGGGTCATGGCCAAAGAAACGGTTATATACAACTAAAAGTCGTAGACTAATGGATTCGATCATACAAACTTACATGCACCGGATCCCAATCAGAACTCTGAAGTTAAGCAAGTTTGGGCGAGAGTAGTACTAGGATGGGTGACCTCCTGGGAAGTCCTCGTGTTGCGTCCCCCCGCCTTTTTTTTATTCTTCGTAATTGTTTTCTGCGTATTCCTAAAGGCTTATATGTGGCACAAGTCGTTTATGACCGAGTCTCGTGCTTAGGAGATGAAAGAAAGGAATGGCAAAACACTATCAATTCTATCTTTTTGAATTTCGATGGATCATCTTGATTAATGTTTCTTGGGAGATGAAAGAAATAGATGGGAAAGACTATTAATTGTATTTTTTTAAATTTCGAGGGATGGTCTTGACTAATATTTTTGAATTTCGTGGGAATGTTTGGAGCCGATGTGATTTGCACATGCGTAAAGGTTACAGGGCCATGTCCAAAGAAACGATTATATACAATTAAAAGTCATAGACTAACAGATTCGATCATACCAACTCATATGCACCGGATCCCATCAGAACTCTGAAGTTAAGCGAGTATGGGCGAGAGTAGTACTAGGATGGGTGACCTTTTGGGAAGTCATCGTGTTGCATCCCCCCCCCCCCACGACCTCTTTTTTATTCTTCTTAATTCTTTTCTGCGTATTTCGAGCTTCTTATTTGTGGCGCGCGTCATTTTTAACCTAGTCTAATGCTTGGGAGATGAAAGAAAGGAAGGGGAAAGGCAATTAATTCTATCTTTTTAAATTTCGAGAGATCATCCAAATTAATGTTTCTTGGGAGATGAAAGAAATAGACAAGAAAGACTATTACTTCAATTTTTAAAATTTCGAAGGATCGTATTGATTAATATTTTTGAATTTCGTGTGAACGTTTGGAGCCGATGTGATTTGCACACGCGTAAAGGTTGCGGGGTCATGGCCAAAGAAACGGTTATATACAATTAAAAGTCATAGACTAATGGATGCGATCATACCAACTCACATGCATCGGATCCTATCAGAACTCTAAAGTTAAGCGAGTTTGGGCAAGTGCTGTACTAAGATGGCTGACCTCCTGAGAAGTCCTCGTGTTGCATCCCCCCGCCTCTTTTTTATTTTTCATAATTCTTTTTTGCATAATTCTAAAGGCCTATTTGTGCCGCAAGTCGTTTATGACCGAGGCTCGTGTTTGG